CTCATCATGAAGCCCTGTCGTCACACTGTGCGCACGGGGGTGCAGTGGTTGTGGGCCCCACTGAAGATTGCCACTTCGTCAGTTTTCAGCAGGCCCGGCCATTGCGGAGTGCCTTGTGAATTTGTTTGCGGATGCGCTTGCCAGTTAGCCATGCAACTCACTTGCACTGGTGTGTCGGGCGCCGTGAGCCAGACCGTTTCATTTTTCTTCTTTTTTCCCCTCCTCCTCCTCCTCCTACTCCTCCGTGCAGGCAGACATGGCAAGGCCTCGTTCAGGCGCTTGCCCTGCCCATTGCTTTTAATGCTCGGCGCCTTGGCAGGGCTGCCGGTCGTGGCGGACTCCGCTGTGGGTTATGGGGCATTGCGTGGCCTTCAATAGCGTGTCTTGATCGCAGGCCGCGATAGGCGGAAAAGAACTGCCTCGCCCGGGAAACGAGGGCCACGGCGGCGTGTGTGTTCCGTCGCCGTCAATTTGGCGTGGCTGTGAGGATGCTGGTGGAGGTGGTGGCGGTGCCGCCTTCGCCCGCAAGGGACGAGGCCTCGGCCCGCAGTGGTGCGCGTACGGCGCATGGAGGACTCTCTCTCTCTCTCTTGTTCTCCTTGTGTGTAGATGCGTGCTGTGTCGCGCTCGCCGCGTGACGGGAGCCTGCGTGCCGGCCCTCCTCCCCTTTTCTCCGCCTATTCTGCATGTAGTTGCTGTTGGTTGTTTTTTTTTTTGCTTTTGCTCTTTTGCTTTTTGGACGCTGGTAGACCGCGCAAGCCACAGCAGCACAAGCAACCTCCACAACAGACCGCAAGGATACCATGCCCGTCGCCAGCCTCAGCCGCCTCGCCCTGGCCCTGGCCCTCGTGTGCGCCCTGATGTGCCTCCAGCTGGTGGCCGCACAGGGACTTGGGGAAGCCGCCGCGAAGAGTTCGCGTCCGCCGCGAAGAGTTCTGCGTCCGCCGCGGGGTCTGCCGTGGAATCCTCCGCGGAGGACCTCGCCGTCCTCTTCGCGCATCCGTGGGCGGCTGCCGGCGCTGCCTGCGTCGCAGTCGCGGCGGCGCTGCTCTAGGCGTAGGCAGACGTCTTTTGTTTTTGTGCCGGTCGGGAGGCAAGGCGCGGTGCCCGGCGCCAGGAGGAGACTGCGGGACACCAGCGAGGCGCACAGCATGCGCCGTGGCCTGCACACCTCTGCACCGCCTCCGGTTGGTGTATTAGGTGTGGGCACTCTGGGTCGCTTGTATTTTTTGATTTGATGCTTCGCCTTTGTGAAGTAATTTCTTGTAATGGGGTGATATAGTATGTGTGAAGAAAAGCGCGCACCCAGATGGGGCGTAGGGAATGCTAGCGTATATGGTTTAAACTCCTCCGTTTTTCTTTTTTTCTTTTATTCTTTAGCTGACCAATAATACCGCAGAGGAAGGCAGCGGTTACATGTTTGTTTGTTTATTTTTTAT